CCTCCCCCCTGTTCCCTTCCCCCCTCTTTCTCTCTGCTCTCCCAGCCTTCCTCCTATACCTCCTGCCTGGCTGTAAGGAGGCTTTCTTTTTTTTTCAGTTCACTATAGAGAGAGGAAGAGAGATGAACGGGGAGAGAGAGAAACTGATGTGAGACTCACATCGATTGGTTGCCTCCCACACACACCCAGGGATTGTGCCTGCAACCAAGGTATGTGTCCCTGGATGGAACTGAACCCGGGACCCTTCAGTTCAAGGGCCAATGCTCTAATCACTGACCTAAACTGTCTAGGGCCCAAGGAGGCTTTCTGATTTGAGACCATTTAAAAGCTATAGAGTTCGGGAACACATGTAATACTTTCAACAATAAAGAGAAAAATATAAAAATACATACAAAATGAAAAAATAAAACCTATAGAGTTCTTGGGAGATGTCACCCAAAGGTCATATAGGCCATCCCCCTGGCTTCAGCAGGATGGTACCTAAACTGTACCTTGTCTGTACTTTTGAGTGAACTTAGAGGAGAAAATCACAACATATTCAATCAAAAGCTCTTTATTCATCTACTCACTATAAATCTTTCTATTTTTTTTCTTTGCCAAGTTCTATAATGTCTTCAAGACCATAAGCACCAGGGCTCTTCGGTGTGCACACTTAGCCTTCTGCTGCTCCCACTGGCCACTAAGGAAGGGATTTGTAAAAGGCTGAGGGTTTGTGGTTAATGAACTTAGTAGCCCATAGGTTCTGAACCCCTGAGCATATAGCTGCACTTGGTGCCCAAGGTTTGCAATAGGTACTGTTGAGCAGCCTTCTAAAGCATGGGAACTGTTTGATAGCTGGAGGGCCAGAGACATCCCAAGCTTAGCAGAGCTGTTAGTTGCTTGAACAGAAGAGATTTTGGGAGCTCCCCTCGTTGATAAAGGCCTATTCAAACACCAAAGCACTCTGTTTGGGCCCTTTAGACTTACCCGTTGCAGTCCCTTACAGTTTGCATCTCTGTCTCCTCTTTCGTATTCTTGAGCTTTCTTCGGGTTAGAACCACACTGCCACCTTATCCCCAACTTTAGGAGTGCTCTCTCCCGTAGCATTCTATTTCTCCTGACATCCCTTCAGTGTAGGAAGGTGGGTATGATTACTCCCAAATTATTTCCAGTGTTCTTTTTTTTTCCCCCTTTAAGGTGAGAAAACAGACACAAGTTGCCCAGCATCCCAGAGTCAGGGTTCACAGTGAAATCATGAGCAATTTCTGCTGACATGTCAGGGTTTAGCCTCCTCCCACCATCAGAATTTTCTTCCTGTTACAGATTTTCTTACTTTTTCTTTGATTTTTTTCTCAGTTTTTAAAAAGTGTGGTAAAATTTTAAAAATTGTGATAAAATATACATTGCATAAAACTTATCATTTTAACCATTTTAAATATCCAGTTTAGTGGCATTAAGTACATTCACATTGCTGTGCCACCATCACCACCACCCATCCACAGAAGAGTTTCATTTTATCCAACTGAAACTCTGTCCCCATTAAACACTCACTTCCCATCCCGCCTACACCCCAGCCCCTGGCCAACCCCACTCTAATTTATGTCTCTCTGAATTAGATGAATTCCAGTACCTCATAGAAGTAGAATCACATAGCATTTGTCCTTTGGTATCAGGATTATTTCATTTACCATAATGTCTTGGGTTTGGATTTTTTTTTTTACTAGTATGGTACTGTTCATCCATATTATAGCATTCTTTTTTGACTTTTTTCATATTTAGGAAAACAGAAAATAAGTGAGATTGATTTTTCTGTTGTTGATTTTTTCTTTTCTGTTTATTTGCTGCTCTTTTTGCCAGGTTTGGGAACTAGGATTATGCCAATTTATCAAATACATTGGATAGCTTTCCATCTTTTTCTCTGCACCATAACTGATTTTATAGCACACCTCCTTTAGATGAATTTTATATTTTCAACAAGACTTCCTAAATCTTGACCATTTCTCTTAACATATTTTTTTCCTATTACTTAAAAGGATAAACAACTATCAAATTTTTTATCTTTTTGAGATACCCATTTTAACTTTCATTACGGGAAGGATCAAAAATGCCGCACTGTCACCATCCCTATTTGTCCTTGGAGTTCAGCGCTGTCGGTCTTCTCAGCCTACCGCCTGTTTTGTGGAGCAGCCCAGCCTGTTTATCCAAATGGAGTCTGTTCATACTGCTTTCCCGCCAGCTGGTGCTCAGCATTTGACTGCATGGGTCACTCTTGGCTTCTTGACATCCTTTCCTTTCCCTGCCTGCCAATTCTATTCTTTTAATTTTACATGGGAAGCACCGAGATTACTGAACTTGTATTTGATAACCTGATCTGGCGTAGTGGGTGGCAACAACCGCTCTGTGTCCAGACTTTGTACATCTATTTATCAACCTCTAGATCAAAAGGAAGTCCTTGGGCAAAGACTGCCTATATTAGTTTTCTGGGGCTATTGAAACAAAATACCACAAGCTAAGTGTTTTCCCTCACAGTTCAGGAGGCCAGAAGTCTGAAATCAAGGTGTCAGCAACGTTGGTTCCTTGTGGGGCTCTGATGGAGAATCTGTCCCGTGCCTCTCTCTGTGCTTCTGGTGGCTGTCAGCAGTGTTTGGTGTTCCTTGGCTTTTAAGTGCATCACTCCAGTTTCAGTCTGTCTTCACATGCCATTGTCTCTGTGTGTCTCTATACAAATCTCCATCTCTTTCTCTCATAAAGACACCAGTCATTGGATTAGGGCCTACCCTAATCCAGGATGACCTGATGTTAACTTGATTTCCAAATAAGGTCACATTCACAGGTACTTGGGGTTAGCATTTAAATGTTTCCATTTGGGGAACACAGTTCACCCCACAACCCCACCCCAGTCTTCTCTGTAACGAAGACATCTCCATGAGTGGGATTGAAACCCTGTCCTTGACTTTCTAGGCTGCCTCATACCAACTGGCCTCACTGCAATCATTTGACAGTAGAGGTTTGGTATAACATTTTCCCTTTTTTTAGGAGTAATTTTGGAGAACTAAAGGCTGAATAACAATACATAAGCATTTTATTTTATGCATTTTAATTATTTAAAACAATTTGCCTCCTAAAAACTATCCTCTAAAAGTTTTCCAATTTTTCTAATGAAAACTATTAAGGACTTAGAAAATAGAAATAAATTTTACCTGTACCTGAATCTTCTACTGACCTCATACCGTAACCCAGCATGTCAGCTTTGCATTTCTCTGGGCAGATCTTAGTACCCCTGGCCTTCCAGATTATTCCCTCTCTCATCCTGGGTCTTTGATTGTTCTGAGCACACCTGGCTGCTGATGCTACAAGTGCTCACCTGTGTTTGCCACGAACACTGTCCCAAATGCAGTCAGCACACCAGAAATATCCATGCTGTCTCCCATAGCACAGGGGCTGAACTGAGCTACTGCTCATACATGGAGAACTGACCGGCCAAGATCACCAGCCCCTCCAGGTTGGAGCAGGAGCTGTGCTCATGGTTCTCTGTGGGTTTTGGTTAAGAGGCATGCCCACCCAAGCCTGCCCACGGGGAGAGAGCATCTGGTCACTACAGCCTAGTATTTATTGAAAATCTTTGTTTGCATAATACCCTACTGGGCCCACAAAGGAGATTATGGAGAAGAAAGAGCTTCTAACTTCTGGATGCATGGCCAGTAAGGGTGAGCTCAGGTTGGTAAAAGACACATGGGACTTAGCAAAAGCAAGGATGTCATCTAAATTATGATATTTGCTTGACTTCCTAAAACAGCCTTTGGGGCTTCCTACCCCTAAAGCAAGCTCACTCCAGCTAGATGATGTCAGGATGTCAGTTAAATGGTAGATAACCAACTTGTGCAGAATTGGAGCTTTCTCTGTGGCATCTACTCACAGGCACTGAAGACTTGGTTTCTATCCACTGATATCTCTTGTGGGACCTCTTGTGCCCACAGAGTTATTCAGATCTCTTGGGCCAGTGAGGCTATTTCAGGCCCCACTATACCCAGAGCCCTTCTGCCGGCTCAGCCTTCCTTACCCCCTTCATCTTAGGTCAGCAATGGTTCAGGAATCCAGGATGAGTGCATCACAGATTTGCTGGTGTTTGGCTTCCTCCAAAACTGCTCCAACTACAATTTCCACAAAGAGCTGCAGGTGTTGGGCCATGACCTGCCTGTGCCAGTTTGCCTGGGGGAAAGCCATGACGATGAACTACAGACAGATGGCAGTCGGTACAGCCACTTTGTCCTGCAGAGCCAGGAGACAGGTAAGCATCTGGCCCAGTCTTCTCTGCCTAAGTGCTAGAAGGGACCTTGGGTTCGGTCTCCACCTGTATGGTGTTAGTCTCCCATAGATGTTTGTGTCACAAGATTGTTGGGTCTGTACTTGGTTCCTGCAGTGGAGCAGGCCTCACTGAGTTTCCAGTCGTCTGAAAACCCCCTCAGTTTATTTCTTTTTTTTTTAATATATATCTTTATTGATTTCAGAGAAAGGGAGAGGGAGAGAGAGTGATAGAAACATCAGTGATGAGAGAGACATTGATAGGCTGCCTCCTACACACCCCTACTGAGGATCGAGTCAGGGCATCCAGGTCATGTGCCCTGACTGGGAATCAAACCGCAGTCTCTGAATCATAGTTTATGCTCAACTGCTGAGCCATGCTGGCCAGGCCCCACTCAGTGTCTTTATAATGATTCTTTATATCTGTCTAGCACCTTACACTGTGTATATATTATGGGGCATTAAGTATGCTGAATCTCATTTCCAAATGAGGAAACTGAGGCCCAGAGAAGAGTAAATGACAAGCCCCAAATGATGGGCTAGGCCTCTTTCCTTGAACTGGGCCCCATTCTCCCATGGCTGCTGCTGCCTCCAGGTGCATTAAAGTTTCCAGACTTCCTTCACCTTTCCTCACCCTCATCCTTGTGCTTTCCTCCAGCCTCAATTTTTACTCCTCTTAGCTGCTGGTGCTGCCTCCACTCACGGAGGCCATCCCAAGCTGATGGTTGAGGGAGCAAGGCTGGGCAGCATGTGGAGCATTAGCCATTCCCAGATTAGTGCCCTCAGCAGTGCTCACATTGGAATTCCATGAGAAACTTTTTCAAAATGCATGGTCCCTGGCCCCTACTCCAGCTGCCTGAACCAGTGTGTTCTAGGGTGAGAGACTCTGGTGTATGCCCTGGTTAGATTTGCTGCCTTAAAAGCCTAAGGTGACTCTGAGGACCTAGACCCCAAGCCTCCCTTCCGAGGAGCACGACTGAAATCCTGCTACCCTGACATCTCATGGCATAGGAGTTTGCATTGCCCTCTGGTGGCCTTGAGGGAGACCAGCAGCCCATCCAGCCTTGAGACCCCTAGCTGTGTCTCAACTCTGGTGGGTGGAGGTGTGGCAAGAGTTCCCCACTAGCCAAGGTGTGCCAGATGTTCTCTGCCTTAGAATCCAGCCAGCATTCATGTCTTCTCGCCCTAAACTGCAATAAGAGCACCTGGCCCCTATGGGGAAGGTTTAGAATGGCTTTGCTATCAGAAACTGCTGCAGGAGTAACTACCACTAGAGGCTGTCCCCTGGGCTGTCCTTTGCTTTTTTGTACCATCTCTTGCTTGTAGACTGCAAAGCCTGGCTTGACTCAAATGTCATTTGCAAAGCTGATTATGGGGCTGTACACTTAACCTCACCCTCTAGTAGAAAACTCCCATGTAGATTCAGTATCTGACAAGATTTGGAAGCAAAAGGCAAAATAGAGGCTCTGGCCCACTACAAGTTTCATGGTGAATTCATTCACTCAGCTGTACACAGATGAATCAGCCATGACTCCTGAAGTTGCTGAAACAGGGTGGAAAAGCCTAGGGAAATTAGTGAGTCAGAGTCAGTTATGTGGGAGCTATGGAGAAGGTGGTGAGTACTCCGTTCTCTGTGGAAAATCAGGAGAAACGTCATGGCTACAATGGAATTCAGCCGGACTGTGAAGCTGCATACAGTTTTGCTCTGGAGGTTGGGAAGAGGGAATGGCAATAGCTTAAACAAAACCCTGAAGATGGAAAGGCCAGGGCCTGGGAAAGATACTGTGAATAGTTGAGTTTGGCTAGAACATTCAAGGGAATAGTTGAAGTTCAGAGTGATTTAAGGCTAGGTGGTGACTTGTCACTTAAGCAGAGGTGAGCATGTGGAAAGTTCTGAATAGGAAAGTGATGTCACATTCGTACTACATGTGTCATGGTCAACGCCGCAGTGAGGCAAATGAAACAACCAGGGTGCAAAATGTGAGGAGGCATTCACTCCTCTTAATTCCTCCTAATCCTCACCTGTAGGTGCCTTGCTGACCCAAGTATACTGTGGAGAGTGGACTGGAGGGCAGTGAGGGTGGGGTGGGGAGAGGCTGTAATTATGCAGATGTGAGCTTTGGGAGAGCACACCAGGTGGTGGCAGTGGTAATGGGAAGGAGAGACAGCTGTGAGATAAGACCTGCCGGTTGGACGGATGCAGCTGCCATAGCACAGACTTGGGGAGGGATGAGATTTCTATCCAGGATAAATAAGCAGCCAGGCCCAGCCGGTCGTGGCTCAGTGGCTGAGCATCAACCTAGGATCCAGGAGATCCCAGTTCGATTTCCAGTCAGGGCATATACCCGGGTTGTGGGCTCGATCCCCAGTTTGGGGCATGCAGGAGGCAGCCGATCAATGATGACTCTCTCATCATTGATATTTCTGTCTCTCTCCCTCTTCCTTCCTCTCTCTAAAATAAATAAAGATATATTTTTTAAAAAAACAAAAACAGAGGGAAGTTTCAAGCACAGAAAAAATAATAGTCAAACCTCAGTTCTCAAACGTCTCCCATCTCAAACAATTCGGTTCTCAGCCAAGCTGTTCAAGGTAAAAATGTCTCAATTGTTGAACAAAACTTCAGTTCTCCACCTGACAACCCTTTCATATCGATACCAGTGTGATCAGTCACATGTCTCTCAGGGGACAAAGGAGAGAATGTATGAGTCAGTTTATTGCTAAACCTCACATTATTAAAATCTCAGGAAACTGTGCTGTGAATATTTTCTTGGTTTTTTGCTTTTGTTGCTGCTTATTACTATTAAATATGTACAGGAAGTCATCATGGGTCCTAAGAAGATTAGTGATGGCAGCAAAGTGAAAGGAAAGTTGTGAGAACAGCGCTAGAGCTTAAAAAAGAAATAATTGCAAAGTATGATAGCAGTGTTTACATGCCTCATCTGGCTACTGAGTATGGCATGGCAAAATGGAGGATTAGCACAATTTTAAAACATAAAGAGGCCGCCCTAGCTAGTTTGGCTCAGCAGTTAGAGCATTGGCCTGCAGACTGAAGGGTCCTGGGTTCGATTTGGCCAAGGGCATGTACCTGTGGGAGGCAACCAATCAATGTGTCTCTCTCACATTGCTATTTCTCTCTCTCCCCTTTCTAATCTCTCTGAAAAGCAATGGAAAAAATATCCTCGGGTGAGGATTTAAAAAAATTATTGTTTAATAGAAATAAATAAATAAGTAAAATAAATAAATAAATAAACCTAAAGAGGCCATCAAGACTGCTGATGTTTGCTCTAGCTGGTTTGCTCAGTGGTTAAAGCATCGGCCTGCAGACTGAAGGTTCTCGGGTTTGATGTATCTCGGTTGCAGGCTCTATCCCTGGCCCTGGTCAGGTTGCATGCGGGAGGCAGCCAATTCATGTGCATCGATGTTTCTCTCTCTGTCCCTACCCCTCCCTTCCATTCTCTCTGAAAAATCATTGGAAAAAATATCCTTGGGTGAGGATCAAGAGTGCTGATGTTGCTAAGGGTGTGAAAGTGCTCACGGAACAACCATCACAGGCACTTGACGGTTAAAACGGAATCATTTGGGGATCTGAAATGGATTCATTCCATTTACATTATTTCTAATGACAAAAATTATGTTTTCAAACAAATTACTTCTCAAACAGCCTTCTCAAACAAATTAAGTTCGAGAACTGAGGTTCCACTGTGTAAGATTTAATTGGAGAAATAACAGTAGCAGGCATTTATTGAATACTTACTAGGAGCTAGGTACAGGGTTCATTCATTCGTTCGTTCATACAGTTGTTTATTTAGCATCTCCTGTGTGCCTTGCATTGTTTTCAGTGCTGCATATTTGGCAGTAAAAAAAAACATTAAAAAATGAGAGCCCTTGTGAAGCTTACATTCTGGCAAGGGAGTCAGACAAAGACCACAGACAGATAAACAATATGATATAGTAGTGAGGATCAAGGAAGGAAAAGGTGGGGTGTTGATCTTGGACAAAGTGGCGTTTGCATAGACCTAAAGGATGTTAGACAAGGAGCCTGCTCTCTGCCGAAACCAAGTAGCTGGAAAAGTGGGAAGAGTTCATGTTAGAGAGGCTGGGCAGATTGTACAAAGCGTTCTAGGTCAGAGTGAAGACGGAGGTGTTACCAAGTGAGACAAGACGGGGAAAAGCAGGGATCTTCCTGTGAGGAAAGTAGGAGAGGGTGTGGCAAGGCCTCATGGCCTGGGAGTGGCAGAGGTGGGGCTCTGACTGGGTCTGACTGCAGAGCCTCTTTCCTAACAACTTCTTAGGCTGACATCTGATAGATGATGGGATACAGAACTGGCAGCCTTAGGGCTGCTGCCAGGTTCATGCCTCAGGTGCCCATAGTCATGGATGCTGCAGCATCACTGATCCTTTTTGTGGGCAGAGGTTGAATCTGTATTCAGGGAGAAGTCTGCTTCTTCAGCCAGACTTCTGCTCTCTGAGGCCTGGACCCAGCACTCTATCTCTGAGGACTCCCCCCAACCTGCCATGGTGTGCTGTGGAAGTGGAAGCTGGCTTTGTTTCAAAGCAGAATCCCTTCCTTTCTCCAGGGTGGGGTACAGTGGGATGAGGGTGTAGAATGGGGCCATTGTCTCAGTGTGCTTTGTCTCTGCTGCCCCTGCCTGAATGTTCAGATTCTGAGAGTCAAGAGGAAATCATCCAGAATATCGCCAGGCAACTTGCCCAGATAGGGGACAGGATGGACCGCAGCGTCCCCCCGAGACTGGTGAATCACCTGGCAATACAGTTTATGAATGGGAACCTGTCAGAGGAAGTAAGTGAGAAAACCCTTTAGTGCCTTTTCTGGGTTAACTGAGAAGTGTGAGGGCTTTTTCCATTGTCAGTTGAACCCACAAGGTCTGTCCTCTATCTCCTGTCAGACAGACCATCGTTTAGTGAGGTGACTCAATTCATGACTGTCTACAAAAGCATTGGAAATAGAAATTATAACATGGTTAATTTTCTTTCAGAAGAATTAAGTTACTTGACATTTAGGAATGAGTCAAGAGTTTGGGAATTAAAAAGCTTCATATGACTCTTCCAGAAATAACTTTCTTCAGGTTTAGCTGAATATAGCTGAATAAAAATGCCAATTAGAGAACTTTAAGTCACTTAAGTCAGGTGTGACAAGAAAAGTGACACGTTAGCCTGCTACTCTTGGCTTCATGGTTATAATCCACATACACATACTTACAGAGCTTCTATCATTTGCTGAGCGCTGTGGGGGGTACAAAGATAGGTCTAAGACACTGTGTCCTTCCTGAGGAAACTTAGTGGGAGAGAGAAATACCCAAAGTTCCTCAAATATATGCCTATAGAAGTTCAAGGAGAGAAAGGTGCCATTCTTTTGACTACCAGCTAAAAGTGCAAGTGTCCCTCACTACCTAGAAATTTATTAATCCTGTAGGGTTCAGCCAGGTCAAGTCTCCTGCCTCAAAGAAGGCTTGTCCCCTCTTTAGTGGTCTTTCCCCATCTGATGGTCTCCAGCAGCTGTCACAGAATCTGTGAGCATTCAGTGATGTTCTGCCTGGGACCTCTCCCACAATGTTAACTCTCCATGAGAGTAATGAGCCTGAAGGTCCGTTCAAGTCTAATAGTCTGTGGTGTGCTGGTTCTAATGTAGGCAGGAATGTCAAGTGTAGCCCTTCCTCCCTCCCTCTAGCTAGTCTGCAGCAGTGACTAGGCCTGAGACATCTTGGTTAGTTAACTGATTCTTGATTTGAAGTGCCTCAGAGGCCAGGAATAACTTGGCTTCTTTAGTTCCACCAGTGTCAAATGTGCACACATGATATTCAGTGACCATGTGTTTGGTTAGTGAGTGTCCCGCTCTAAGGAGTGACCTCAGTCTTCCCTTTCCATCGCCTCAAAACTAAATTGTTTCTCATTCTCTCTTCCAATCTACCTTAGCTACTTAATAAATACTTCCCTGTGAAACGAGAGCATGTTTCTTCATGCTTTCCACTGGAGGACTGTTTTTCCTTTAAGAGGGAAGAATATTAGTGACCTAGGTTCCATGTGAACCTTCTGTTTTTACCTCTGCAGGACAGAAGGGAGTGCCTTGCTGCTGTCCTGGAGCAGGTCATGCAGACTTATCCTAAAGACATGGAGGAGGAGAAGACCATGCTGCTGTTGACCATGCTGTTGGCCAAAAAGGTGGCCGATCACACACCATCCTTGCTCCGTGATGTCTTTCGCACAACAGTGAATTTTATTAACCAGAACCTACTCACCTATGTGAGAAACTTAGTCAGAAATGTAAGAACCAGTGATGTCAGCTCCTTGGCATTTCATTAAATCCTCTTGGTGTTTGCCTACTCCCTACACCCATTTCCCTCTGAGGTCAGGAAACTCAGCAGAGCCCTCCACTACTTTCCTCCCTTTCTTCTGCTTCAGATGACCAAACCACGAGGAATGCTGTTAGAAACTTTCCTGTTCAGGTAGAAAGGCTTGGTTTTGCTTTCATGAGCAAGAAAGTTATGTGGTAGGAAGTGGTAATGAACACCTGGTGTCCTTTTGTGCTTTATCAGCTTCATTTTTTTTAAAATAATTATCAGTTTCATTTTTAAGATGTGCTACTGTCAGCAGGGAAAGCTTATTTCATAGTATCCATAGAATTGTAATAGTGTGGTGCAGGTGGTATAGACACTTAGAGCATGAAAGAAAGTGGCTGAGGGATCCAAGCTGAGCTTCCCCAGGTCTGCTCTCAACTTTACCTTGTCACAAAAATAAGTATAATTAAATTCTTTAAAAACATGCTTACAAAACATACAAACAAAAACATGCTTACGGAGAAAGATGAAAGGGAGAGAGACCAAAAGGAGAGATCAAAAAGGGGGGAAATCTATCTAAAACCTGCCCCAGAAAACATCTGTCCCATAACCAGGATATTAAAAGTCACAGTTCTTCATGATGTTGCCCAAGAAGGCCAGACAGTCCTTAAAGTCTGCTGCTTCAGTTTCACAGAGCCAACTGGAGGTTCGATGGATCTGTCTTTTCTCTAGATTTGAAAATATTGGTGAATATTTGGGATTTTACATGTTAGAAGCATTACTCAGGCATCCAACCTTCTTAAAATTAATGATAAACCTTAAAAGCTTTCTCTATCTGCTATGGACTTTATACAAGCATTTTGAAACAGGAGAATGAATATAAATGTGAAATCAGGTGTTAAACCATGCTGAATTGTTAGAAGCAGGTAAGCCTGAGAAAGTTCCTGGACAGCATTCACCAACCATCTAAAGGGAGTAAGTGGGCAAGATGTCAACAGCATTCTGTGCTAACAGCTCACCAAATACTGAAGGGCCCAAACAGAATCTTGATTCCTTGGACCCACTAAGATGCCTCTTGGCACCATAAGTGACCCAGCAGATGGGAATATCCACATCTCAGCACCTTGAAAATCTGTTTTTGCAGTTGCTCTCATGGAGCAAAGTGTAGGATGCACGGATATAAGGATAACAGGTTTCCAGAGAATGTTTTTGCACAAACCCCTGCGTCACTTATATTTTTTATGGCACTAGAGTTCTTGAGTTCTGAATTCTGGTTTATAAGTTAAAACAGCTACTTTAGACCATAGAAAATGATCATCAATAAAGCAGTAACATCTATTAATTAGAGGTATGGAGCACTAAAAATTCACATGGGGGCTAAAGAACCCAAATCTAGGGAGGTGACAGTAGTAAAAACAACTGGATTTTAGACATGCTAAATAAATATATGCTAAAGTTTTTGTTTTGGTTGAGTGAGGGGTTATAGATTCTAATTAATCCTTGAAGCATATCAGAAACTCAGAAGTTTTAGTTGTAGCAGAGAATGCTAGATGCCCCCAGTATCTGTCCTCCCCATCTTCTGTAGCTGTAGGATTTAAAACTGGGTCCTGATGGTCTACATATCCCAGGCTCCCTTATAAGCCAGGTGTGACCTATGACTTTTGATTAAAGGGATGCAGGCAGAAGTGATAAATACATCTCTACTGTGTCTCTGAAGAGAAGGAGCCTGCCCTCTACTTTCCCCTTCTGCTGTCCACAGGCTAAAGTGTCCATGAGGATGTGGGTACAGGTGAGGGCATTATCTCAGTGACAAGGACCAGTAATATAGGCTCCTGGCTCCCAAGACTTTGGTGCTGACTGCTGACATATAATTAGAGAAATAAACTGTCTTGTTTAAGTCATATTTAGATTACCTGTCATAGAAGTTGAGTGTACATTCTAATAAATGCAGTGTTTGTTTGGTAAAAATGAAGGATGTAGAACTTCCAATCATTTACAGAGATTGGTAACTTAAGGCCTTAAGGCAAATCTGGTCTGCTGGTTGTTTTTGTAAACGAAGTTTTAATGAAACATAGCCATGTTCATTCGCTTATTGTCTCTGGCTACTTCCACACTAACATCAGAATGGAGCCATTGTGACAAAGACCATATGGCAGAGACTGAGTGGCCTATGGAGCCTAAAATACTATCTGGGCCATTACAGAAGAAAAACTGGTCATTCAGTACAAGTTAGGAAAGAGGGAGAAACAGTAAATAGGAACTCGTAAAAAAGAAATTTAAAAAGTCAGAAATATGACTAAATATATTGGTGGAGGGAAATTAGACTGGCTAATTCTGGTTTTTCCTTTCTTTCTCTAGGAGATGGACTGAGTGGAAGACTGCAAAGCGTGTCTGGTTAAAATTTGGTATGGGATAGCAGTTAGCTGCCTCCAGTGGAGATAGAGCCATGACTACTTAAAGTTCTTAGAGAAGCTGGGCACAAGATAACAGTTATTTATTTCTCACTATTTTAAAGATGATGTTTTAAACCGGTGACCCATTTAGAAATGTCTACATTAATATACTCGAATAAAAATGTCAACTTGCACATATTTGAACAAGCTTGCTCCCATCTTTAAATCTACACATTGTGCCTTTATCTTATTTCAGCTGTATAGGTCCCCACTTGAAAATTAAAGTTAAAAGCAGATTATAAAGCAAAAGAAAAAAGACACACTTAATGTTTTGTTAAAAAAACACAACTTTACTGCTTATTAAAGTGCAACCTCAGCACAGTCTTACAGCAGTGTCATGTGAGGAGAGCAGGGATTGGAGAAGGAATGTACAAGCCCCTTACAAATGAAAATTCCTTGCAGAATAGGGAACATCTTAATACTAAGGAAGTAATAGTCTTCCTGTTTAAAAACCAGACGGCACAGGAGATTCTGGATTCAGAACATTTTGGACTTTTTTCAACTTGATTTCCTTTTATTAGAGTCAAGAAAAACCACAGGCAAGTCAAAGGTGTGGAGGTGATTTAAAGGCCTGTGTCACCTAGTTTCTAAAATCAGGTAACTAAAGTCACCTTGTCTCTTTCCAAGAAGCCAAGGCCATGATAACATTTTTAAGGTGGTAGAGTACCAGAAACTACTGCATACATTTCATGAGGACTGACTGCTAATACTCTTATATTTTCATTTTCCATCCGTAGTCCTCAGTTCAAGTCTAAGAGGTTGTGTCAGAAGAGAACAGGTTTTTCTAGGCATAAAAAATGAAGAGGAAAAAAAACTTAAAAATTCAATAGTTGAGTAGTTGCCTTTTCTAGGGATGCAGTCAGAATACAAGTGATAACAAAATCAGATCTCTTAGGTAGTGCCCAAATAAACCAGGGAACACATACATTTAGAAACAGGTGTTTCCTAGGGTTCTATTTGCACATGATGGCAGATGTTGGGTCCATATCACACACATTACTCTATACTAACACTCTTGTTACTGTGAACGTGACACTCTGGAGAAACCAATGAACAAGAGTACTGAAGTACTAATAAATATTTCCTTGTTACCAAACACTCTTCTGTTTAAATTCATCAGAAAAAAATGACTGTGCACCATTCAGGATTAAATACATACCACAGTAGGGCTGGGGCTCAGTCTGATATCTGCAATATGTTGCAAGTATTAAAAGCAAATAGATGTTGCCATGTGGTATGAAGGCAATCATTTAGAAAACATTTTCTAGTAATGCTATTATTATGAATGTTTTGGAATGGACTTCCCCCCCCAAAAGATTCATATCACAGTGGAAACAAGTTGAACACATATACACACATACATACACTCATTTATACACTCAGATTCTCACTAGGTGGAGATACTTTCTTCCAGAAAGAGCAATTTAAATACAAATAGTTGACTAAACTAACGGGAGAGAAGAAAGCTTTAAAGTAGCAAATAATCGGCAGATTCCAAGATGGAGGCGGACTGAGTGGAAGCTACACTGACACTCTTCCAGGACCAAACTGGAATTACAACTAAAATATAGAAAAACCATCCTGAATAATCAACTGCAACTGAAGACTAGCTGGAGAGCACCTTCATAACCAAAAATAGAGACCACATAGAGACTGGTAGGAAGTGAGGAGGTACAAGAGGGCTGGCTGGGCTCCCACAGGGAGCAACTGAAGTTCTGGAGGAATATCTCAGGTGTGGGGGTTCCCACTGAGAACTCCGGGGTTTAAACCCCAACCCCAGCACAGAGCACCAGATCTGAGAAAGGTACTCACATAACATCTGGCTGTGAAAAGCAGCAGTTTCTGTCTGCCAGGGAAAGAGCTGGAAATGTAGGCACTCTCTTAAAGTGTCAGTGCACAGTTTTGTGTGCATCCACTCACCTTGGGCTCCGGTGGAGGGAGGGCAGAGTGAGGAGAATCCAGAGGTGCTGGCAGGGGGAACAGAGCTCAGAGGGCAGCCATTTAGATCCCTGTGCTGAGTCATTCCCCCATACTGCAGAGGACATCCTTCTCAGGCAGACATTTACCTTCCAAACAGCCTTTGCTTGGGGGAAAAGCAACTGCCCCACCCTGTGGACTTTTTACAGCCTGAGGCTCATTAAGAGACTGAATAACAGCCTCTAGGTGCTTTGAGTCTTTCCCTGATTTGATTCTGGACTCAGGGCTTGGAAAAACAGGCCTTGGTGGGTATCTTGGTTCAGTCCAAACACACCCAGCCTCAGCAGAGGGAACCACAAGCTGTGGAGTGTGGAAAACTTCAAACAGGGTACTCAAGGCCAGTCACAAACTGCATCTGACATTGGCCTGCACCAGAGACCATCCAAAAGACTGGGAGTCCTAGCAGATCTACCTAATCCATAGAAACAAATCCAAACAAGCAGCCCCAATGAGGAGACAAAAAACAAGCCCCAAATGAAAGAACAAAAGAATTCTCCAGAAATGAGCTCAATGAAATGGAGATAAGCAATCTATCAGATATAGAGTTCAGAATACTGATTGTAAGGATGCTCAACAGCATGAAAAAATATATGGAAACTATGAAGGAAATTAAGAATGACATAGTAGAAATTAAAAAAAAAACACACGGAATAAACAGCAGGTTAGGGGAATGTGAGGACTGGATCAGCGAATTAGAAGACAGGGTAGAAAAAATAACTCAAAGAACCAAAAAGGGAAAAACTACTAAAAAACAGGAGGACAGTTTAAGGGAGCTGTGGGACAACATGAAACATAACAATATTCACATCAAGAAGTGCCAGGAGCCCAGCCGGGCATGGCTCAGCATTTGAGCGTTGACCTGGGATCCAGGGGATCGGGGTTTGATTCCCGGTCAGGGCACATGCCCAGGTTGCGGGCCTGATCAATGACTCTCTCATCATTGATGTTTCTATCTCTCTCTCTCCCTCTCCTTTCCTCTCTCTGAAATCAATAAAGATATATTAAAAAAAAAAAAGTGCCAGGAGAGGTCAAAAGTAAGCAAGGGTTAGAGAACCTGTTTGAAGAAATAATGGCAGAACACTTCCCTAACCTGGTCAAGTAAAAAGTCACACAAGTTCAGGAGGCACAGAGCGTCCCAAGCAAGAACCCCCAAAAGAGGCCCAAGCTTAGACACATCATAATTACAATGCCAAAAATTTAGGACAAAGAATATTAAAGGCAGCAAGAGAAAAGCAATCTGTTATCTACAAAGGAGCTCCCATAAAACCGTTAGCTGATTTCGCATCAGAAACTCTACAAGCCAGGAGGGAATGGCATGAAGTATTCAAGGTAATGAAAAGCAAGGATCTGAAACCAAGACTACTCTATCCAGCAAGGCTATAATTCCAAATAAATGGTGAAATAAAGAGCTTCCCAGATTAAAAAAAAAAAAAAGGCTAAAGCAGGTTTTCACCACCAAGCCAGCATTGCAGGAAATGTTAAAGGGACTGCTGTCACAAGTTGAAATAGAATGAGAAACAGACATAAAGAAAGAAAATGGCAATAGATAAGTACCTATCAATAATAACCTTAAATGTAAATGGATTAAACACTAATCAAAGGACATAGGGCAGCTGAATGGATAAGAAAACAAGACCCAAATATATGCTGTCTACAAGAGACCCACCTCAGAATAAAAGAGGCACAGAGGCTGGAAAAAAACATTCTGGAGGGCTTTAAAGGGGAGATTGACAGAAACAGTCACAGTAGGGGACTTTACCACCCCACTGACTTTACTGGATAGATCTTCCAGACAAAAATCAACAAGGAAACAGTGATTCTAAATAACATACTAAATAAGATGGATTTAATTGACATTTACAGAACATTTCACCCCAAAGCTGCAGAATATGCATTCTCCTCAAGTTCACGTGGGACATTCTCATAGACCACATGTTAGGACATAAAACAAGTCTCTACAAATTCAAAAAGATTGAAATCATATCAAGCATCTTCTCAGACATTTATGCCATGGAATACTATGCAGCTGTAAAAACAAAGGATCCCTTCCCCTTTGAGACAGCATGATGGGACCTGGAGAGTATTGTGCTAAGCAAAATATGCCAGTCAGAAAGACAAGGATCACATGATCTTACTCATATGTGGAATCTAATAAAATAAGCTGATGAAAAAATAGATCCAGAGGCATAGAAGCATGGAACAGACTGACGAATCTCAGAGGGAAGGCAGGGATGGGTGGGTGGG